TTAAGACAGCAATTACAAAGTGCTTTACAGGGAATATAAAGACATGTCAGACACACCAACTTTATAGAGGCACTTCATCACATTATATTCAGCTTTTTATATAATTTCTGTATATTTCTTTTGTTGTAGTTTATTTAAATTTTTATCAGTCTTTATTACACTATTTAACAGAATTCTTTTTATTTGAATATTTTACCTTATTGAAGTATTTTGTTGTGTGACTTTGTATTTTTTTTATTTATTGCTCTATTCTTTTTTATTAGACTATGTTGTTGTGGGTTGTGTTTGAGTTTTGGCTGCGATATCGCAGTAATTTCCCAACTTTAGGGATCAATAAAGCATATCTTACAATCCAAAGTACCAGTATCCGGGTGTTTGCCCTCTATGGGGGATTTAATTGCGCACTCCATTTTCTCATTACACGGAAGATTAAAAAAATAATAGCAGAAAAATATGTCTTATAGGTTTTATATTACTGCCCAAGTCTGTTGTTTCAGTAAGCCAGGTAATTTTGCAGACGGTTCCTAACTCAATCCTGTGCAGGGTGGGTGATCTCTACTTGTTTTCACACTGAATTAAGACTGAACTAATCCTAATAACACAGAAAAAACAAAAATCATAAAAATTAAGCTCTTACGTCTTTCTTCATCTCTGTCCAGTGCATTATTTTTTCTCCTGTGGTGTTTAAAGTCGTCGCTGGCTGATGAATACAGAAGACGTGCTCTCAACCGTGGACTGAACTTCAGACTGACCCTCGTTTTGGAAAAGTAAACAAATCAGCGATGTCTCTTGTGGACGTGGTCGTTTATAGTTCAGAAATGTTTAACCCGAACATGTCAGACAGGTAGTGGTAGAGGCTTAAAACCGTATTGTTTACTTTACAAAAATGGGAAGTAACGCTTGCTAAAAGCTACATTTTCTTTATGTGTATCTATAGTTCCGGGATTTGATCAAACATGTGAGCTAAAGCACAGCTATACAGGAAGTACAGCTTAACAAACAGTGCAGATGACACTGTTAATGTAATGTCGAATAAACCTACACTACAATGAGCCATAGGACAAGTAATAGCATAAACTATAAATTATTCAAAAAAGCTGACAAAACAAGGAAAACAGAGGGTAGCTGGAATCTATTTAGCACAGTCATTTGGATGACCCATGGGGCAGCTGATGGAAAATACAGACTGTGCATTGAATGAAAATCGGATGTTTAATAAATTAAACCTAAATAGATATTAAACAAAATGAAACATTAAAAAATGTTACAGTTAACAGTGGTGAGGTTATTTCTTGAAGAACAGAGATACATGCTTAATACATACACATACAGATGAATAGCATGTAAATACTGTGGGTCTTTAGCCTTGTGAATAAATACTTTGGCCAAAATAAGTAAACATAGGCCCACTGTTTTGTTTCATAAACACCAAAGATATTAATTACTAAACTCCATATACATATCATTGTTTTTATAAAAGGGATGAAGACAAAAAATAAATAAATAAACAAGCTTTGTAATAAGGTGGTGCTTAAATGATGCTCAGTTGTTACTAAGGGGGCCAAACTTCGTCAAGAAAATATACAATATAAAACCATGGATAGATATAAGGCATGCATCCAAATTCTGGCCCTATCTGAATCTCTCAGCAGACAAATGAGGCAGCATTTTTCCAATTCCATTTCATTTTTTCTTCTATTGTCCAATTGAGCCAATGTGAACTGTAGCTTCAGTTTCCTGCTCTTAGATGAAACAGGGTTGCCCGGGTGTGGTCTCCTGCGCTAGCTTCCACATGTTGTTCATTCAGAGATGCTTTTCTGCACACATTGGTTGCAACGAGTGGTTATTTGAGTTGTATTTCCTATCACCTTGAAGCTGTCTGGCCATTGTCCTCTGACATCAACAAGGCATTTTCACCCAGAGAACTGCCATCCAGTGGATATTTTCTCGTTTTTGAACCATCAAAGTAAAAAAAAAAAAAATCCCAGTAGACCAGCAGTTTCTGAAATACTTATGATCACCTTTCTTTGAACTTTCTTTGAACAGGTTGTCTTGACCACCTTGCTTCCATGATTCGATACTTGTGCAAACAACCAGTTGAACAGGTGTACTTTATAAACTTACAAGCCAGTGTATATTACAGTGAAATGTCATCAAGTGGCCCTGCAATTATATCAAACGAGTAAAATTAACCTCATGCCTCTACAGTAGATACTCCTTGTATGTTAATGCATAAAATATATGAAACAAAACCTTTTGCTTTTATACTCAACATACAAACATTACTTACATTATTTTACATAAGCGCATAGGGGTCTTACTTTACAAATATTAACATAAAACTGTAAATTATTAAAGAAAATCTCCAAAAGTTGATTCTGTTCATCTGGACGTAGCGTTTTCTGGGAGAAACGTTTCGTCACTCATCCAAGTGACTTCTTCAGTCTCAGCTGACTGCAGGTTTCCCCAATCTTTGGGGCTTTGGAGCCCACAGAAGGCCACAGAAGGAACAATGGGCTGTGAGGTCAGTTCCTTAATCATAATTATGCAAATTCTCATGACCATTGATCAACAACCACTGACCAAAACCCACTGATCAAAGACCACTGATCAATGACCACTGATCAATGGCCATGAGTACCATTCACAGAGAGTTGGGGAATGGCTGCAATCACAGCATTGTAAGATGGCATTGTATGAATTTGCATAATTATGATTAAGGAACTGAGCTCGCAGCTCATTGTTCCTTCAGTGGGCTGGTTTCAGTCATTATGCAAATGTACTGTTTATAAGATTGGGGAAACCTGCAGTCAGCTGAGACTGAAAACGCTACGTCCAGATGAACAGAATCAACTTTTGGAGATTTATTTTCCTGGATGATTGAGAATGCATCAAGACATTAAAGAAAATATGCGCTTTTAGCCTAAAAAAGAGAGCTTTTCTTTAGCCCTCCATTTTTTAGGCTAACGAAACACCCCTCTTGGCTCTGATTGGTCAATAGTGGCAGGCATGAGCTGTTGAACCTGTTTGGTGCAAGATATATCACGTGACTCTGTGCTGATTGGTGGAACTGTGGATAAATCCTCCGACAACTGCCGGCGCGGCAAATTCAACTTCTTGTTTCCTGACTACGTTATCGTTTTGTTGATAGTAGCGGTTGTAATTACCTGGTTTTTTGTCTTTTATTTTTTTTTTATTACTAAGTTATTGTGTATTTTAAATGAACATGGACTGCGTAGATTTTCCAAGAGTCCTACCAAACTCACCGAGGAAAGCCCGGGGACAAATTCAGGTAGGTGTATACAACAGAAATTACCCTCGGGTAATTAAGAAAATATAAATAACTTTAAACGGTGCATACCTGTGGTGATAAAAACTGTTATCTAACAGACTTTCACATCCTAACGTTGACTCTTTGTTGTCGTTTGCAGGTCATCTTTGGACCGATGTTTTCAGGCAAAAGGTGGGTTCTTCACTTATAAACCTAAAGAAAGCATTTTTAGAGGCGTTAATTAGCCAGCTTTTTACGTGTCCGACGTGTAAAATTATGTTAAAACAAACTATATCAAGATTTTCCGCCCAAATCAAAGCTTCCCGCCAAATTCTGCATTGTTTATCCGGCTCCCATTCATAAAAACAGTTCATGTTACTGTGCAGCGTACAGTTGATACACATTAATACAGCATATGATACATTTTAACGACCAGTGCACTGATTTTTTTGCACTATTTTCATACTAATCATGTTATGTAGCATTCGTTACTGCGCTTACGTGTATAGTGTCTGCACTATAGTTTGATGTCCATGTAGAAAATAAACATCCGGCTTTAACTGATGTTTGCAAACTTTATTTATTCTGCAGCACTGAACTGATGAGAAGAGTGCGCCGTTTCCAGATAGCCCAGTACAACTGCCTGGTGATCAAATATGCCAAAGATACACGGTACTCCGACACGGGCATGGCCACTCATGACAAGTAAGCCTCGTTTTTTCTGTTTACTTGTTGTTTAGCTGAGCTGTTCATATCCGCAGAAATACCCTCTGGTTTTCATAATAGGAGGAAGAGGAGACATTAGCCCAATGCAGTCTTGCTTAGTAGTTCATTTTTAATTTGTGCACAGCTGCATGCAATTTTCCGACAAGTACACCTTAGGCTGGAAGTGCTCTCCCTGGACACATTAGTTCTTAACAATAATTTTGTTGTTATACAGCAGAGGTAGAACACCTGAAAGCATAATCCTACTGATTGTCTTCATATAATAATGAACATCAAACGAATACAGCAATTAAGTAATTCTCTAAAAGGTGAGTTTTAATAAAAATAGAGGAGAAGCTGCGTTTGCTGCTTCCTTTTACCTTAATCCAAGTTATGACACGTTAGCACCAGCTGACCTCTAGTGGTGAGACTTCTCAGATGTGCATTTTCCTGTGGAGGAGTTAAGTGTGCAAATGGATTGTGTAAATATTTCAGCAGGTCAGTCACAGCAAATGCAATGACTGTGCACATCATCTGTCTGAAGTTAAGTTTCTTCTCTCTGGTACATCTTTTAGAAGCACAATGGAAGCTGTACCAGCAAATTGTCTGAAGGATGTGCGGCCTCTGGCACTGCGAGCTTGTGTGATTGGAATCGATGAAGGACAGTTTGTAAGTCTTTCTATATATTTACATTTTACATTTACCCCATTGTTTTTTGTTGTTTTGTTTTTTTCCTCTCCTTTTTTGAAAAAAATCCTATACTGCTACCTTTCTGACTTTAAAATAAAGTCCTTGTTTTTTATTAGATATTTTGATAGACATTTACTTTGTTTTTATTTAATTTTTCCATTTTAACTAATATATTGGGTTTATTCAGTTTTGTTGTTTTGGTTTCTTACACTCTTAAAATTTTAATAGCCATTGTGCTATTTTTTTTCTTTTTAATTTTCTCTAGCCTTATTTTTAGTTATTTTTTTTAATATATTTTTACTTTTTTCAGCCATTTTCTTAAACTTTGGGATTTAAAATATTTAAAGTAATTTCTGAATTTCATTTGATATGTTCTTATAGGCTATTCTAAACTTACATTTTAGCTTATTTTCAATTTATTTAAAATTGGTCATCACTGAATCTTGTTTTGTTACTTTGTCAGCCATCTGAGGAATTACAGTTGCACTAGCCTGAATGACCTGAATTCTTTGATTTAATAGGTTTTTACTTCCATAGAGACCTTCATTAAATACTCTCTGCTTCCTTCATGTTGCAGTTCCCAGATGCTGTGGAGTTTTGTGAGGAGATGGCTAATTTGGGGAAGACAATCATTGTAGCTGCCTTAGATGGAACCTTCCAGAGAAAGGTGTGTAGTGTCCACATGTCAGTGTGATACAGGTAGACTGTGGCTGCTGCAGGGCAACACCAAGCACCGCTCTGGGAAAAAGGGGTAACAAAATGTCCCAGATGATGAACATTTTTAAGAAAACGCTGAACAATCTGCAGGAGCAGCACTGATGCAGACGGCTCAATGCGCTCATTATTCCACACTACATTGTGTCTATTCTTTTCTTGTAATGCAATTATACCTCTGTTCATTCAGTGATATTGACTGTGCCTTTCTGCTGCCCTGCACATTCTTGTAGGCGTTTGGAAACATCCTGAACCTTGTTCCTCTGGCGGAGAGTGTAGTGAAGCTCCACGCTGTCTGCATGCAGTGTTTCAAAGAAGCTGCCTACACCAAGAGGATAGGAGCTGAAAAGGAGGTGAGGAGGCATAACTAAGGCTGTGATAAAAGAACTCTTCAAAGGGTGGTGATGAGACAGACTTAGTGTCTGTATGTAGTAAATATATTAAAAACAAAAGTGTTCACTTATATTTAATTAGTGATTCTGGATTGAACTGGAACTAACCCTTCTTTGATGAGCAACGAATGAAAATATGCCATAGAAAATCCAGTGATATAAAATAATGAGAA